TATTTTCATCGACCCTTGAATACTGTTCAAAAAAGTCTAGTTTTAAACCTAATGAAGTAACGATAATATTTAAAAAAAACAATAAGCCAACAATAGATAGTTATGATACTTAGCGACTAGTCCACCCTTTAAATTAAAAGGCATGACTGCTTCGCGGCAGAAAATAACAAAATGGTGCTACATACTTGTGCATACTTCGTGTAATATTTGGTTGGTCAAGAATACGCATGGTTCTGAACGTAAGTGTTGAAACACGTATTAATTTAAAATCAACTGCCGAAAGTCATTTCGTATCGGGTCGATTCTCGTTACTGCAACCCATTTTAATAACCGTTCAGGCACAAGGCCATTGAAACTGTTCAGTGTGATAGCATCAATGGACAGTGACATGAGCTGTTCGTCCCCGAAATAGGTTTAAGGGGTCGCTTCCAATGAACTCGTTGGCTGTACCGAAATTCATTGGATCAAAGGGGATCTTTAGCTTGTTAGGTTTTCTCTTAAGAAATTTCGATCTCGAGAGGTTCGGGATTTTGAAACGTAACGGTATTATGAAAATAGAGTTGCTTCACAATAAATCAAGATATCGATTCGTACGAAAAACATGTTTTATTGTAAAATAAACGAACAAATTAACAAAAAAATGCTTTATATTAATTGTTAAAACATTTTAGACTAATTACGATTCGACAGATACAAACATTTTTAAGCTATTGCATACCTTTAATCGCGGGCCTTGAGCGCGGCGACCGAATCATGAAATTCCGTAACGAAAAAAACCTTACACCCCTCACTCCGTCTGCCATGTAGCTCGCGTTCAACATGTTCACACTTTGCGCTTGTATAATGTTTGTGAATAAGCGCGTGGCGTGACGTCACACTGTATGCGCATCATGAAAAGTCTGCCCATCTCTCTCTCGCGCGGTCTAGCTTATGAGTGTGAAGGGGACAGTTAAGGTTTTGCTTTTATTAATGTTTAATATAGCGTGGTCTTGTTTTATTATTGTTTTAATATTAAATTATCATTGTCCAATTATAATTGCATAAGTTGATAAAAAATGCTATGCAATAGCTTTACCGCGGCAGTTTCCGAGTGCCACACGTTTATTTTGATTTGTTCAACAATCGAGACGTATAATTATGTAATTAGAATTTCATACTTATAAATGATAAGCGGGCAGGACAATTTCTAGTACATCTGGTTTTAACCGATTACGGAAATACAGAGACATCGGAATACGGATTAACAAAAATCCTATTCTTAAAAAAATCGCGAACGATTAGCTTTGGTTGGTTGTGCTTGTTGGTTGGTAATGGTTGATTGGTTATACGTATGGAGAGCTTAATATTGGAGCCTTGCCCGGGTAAATCCCGGTCAATTTATGGCGCAAAGCAGTCCTGTGTTTCCAGTTTGAAGGGCAGAAGAAGAAAGAGCTTCATCGTCATGTCTGAAGGTGAGAGGCAGCTTTAAACTGATACCAAAGTCGTGGTAAATTGAAATATCGACCTCGAATCTCACGGTCGGTGGTAGTATTCACTCTGTGATCTGTATCGACTCCAGTTACAACTTGCAATTAAACAGTAAGTTCATCTATTCAATATAAATCTGTTTCAAAATTTTAATTAAGTTTCAAAAATAGGTTTTGCATCACTCACGCATTGGTGAGATGCGTGCGCCCGCGTCATATTGTAATTATTGCTTTAAAGCGCAAATTGTTTGGATAACAAGACCAGAATTAGACATTTGATATTAGTGAATAACCCATAGTTTTATTAAATAATACACCCGAGATCAATCCCTCACTATACTTGTCTTTTAGGGGCCAGGACGTCGCGAAAGCTTAAAACGATAATTTGTATTAAAAAATATATATAAAAACTTATTAATGTAGGGTTTCAAATTAAAGTAAAGTAATACGCTGCGTGTAGATAATAAGCACCTCTAGTGTCCTAGAACTATTGTGGTCAATTGAAATTGAGGGCTGCAGTTGACTGAATCTATCAATCCAACACAATAAAGAGTTTATTGTTACCTTTGTAACCAGAATTCTGTACTGGTGGTCTAATGTTAAACACTGTGTTATAGTGACAATTCTCAGTAGTGAAATGCTTTACTACAAAGTTGAATTTGATTCACAATTTGATGAATAGTTAACAATTTGTATTTATCCCCAGTTACCAAAAGCAACAGATTTCAAGCTGTATTAATCTCTAAAAAAACTTAAACAGGCTTAAGAGTTAAGGTGAAAAGTTAATTTTCTTTGTGTTTTCTTCCTTCACGTTAATCCGTAATTAAATTTCAACGAAACACAGCAAGAAAACAAAACAGACCGTACTCTAAGTTGCAGGGAATAGCCCAATGTTGTTACGACATTTTTAAAAGGGTTAGAAAGTCGCGAGTATCAACCGGGAAGCTGAAAAACTTTGGCCATGACGAATTTTATTTCGGAAGGAATAAAAAAAGCGTGGAAGCGTTGTAGCAAAATTCCCGGCGCTTCGCTTCAAAGTGTTTTGATCAACCTACCGTGACGTGGCGAAATAAAAAGGATGGTTCGTGTTGCATTCAAATGAGCACGTCGTGTCAAGGAGGACACCGCTAAGTACAAACTTAATTTTCTTAGACTGAGACCCCGTGAAGATGCTGAAACTCTCAAACTTCTATCTCGTTTATTGTCTACCTATTCATGTCAGTTGCAATTCCATCTCAGATAACCCTAATAGAACAACTTGTTTATAGATTTCCAATTACATAGTTTAATGAAATGCTATTGGATTTTTAATTATTCCCGTTATTATCAAGAAGCCATTTAATTCACGAGCACTTCTGAAGAACTCCGACAAAGTCCTTTAGACAAAAACTTAATTTTTGTTGGAGCGGGTACGTAATTAATTTCACAGAGCCGTGTAATATTTTTTAATTAGTGCTTAAGTAATTTACGCAGTTGACAATCAAGTTCTGGGTCTTTACGGTGACAGTTGCAGATGGAAGAGATGACGATTTGTAGTTTAGGACCCGTCCCGTACCAGTGATAAGTAAACATTGAAGTTTGTGTCCAATAAGCCATGGAACCCGGAGGACCCGTATTGATTATAATGTAAGTATGCCGCCGGCGTCCGACCATTGTTCTATTCAATCCAATATTGTTAACAGTATTGGTGCAAATATGATATTCTCGATTCGATGTTTTATAAATAAAATTGTTATACTAAAACTCTTATTCAATTTCGATCGAACCTTATAACAATATTTGCGTGAATATTTTCTGTATATACATTTATTAGGGTTCTGAAATAACTTAAAATCCTAACTGATTTTATTTGAATTTTATTTTAGAAACACTTATGGTTTTATCGTAGTTCGAAAGCTGGACAGATTTTTATTATGGAAATTACTTGTTTTCCGGCACGCGGTCGCCAGTCGAGAACCTTTCGGCCCCAGAGACCATGTGTTCTACGAGAAAAGCCCTGCCCAAAAACCCTGCTGTAACCAGGAATAGCAGAGTTATCGGGATGCCTTGCCATGCGCCTTGGATGCCACTGGCAGCAAACACGGGAGGGGAGGGAAGGTTTATTCTTTTTCGAGGCCACCACTTGGCTCACACCAGACGGCCTACATAAGACGTGTGGAGATTGTGTAGTGTCGACGTCCACGCTTAAACGGCCTAGATGGCAAGACTTCATACTAGCATTTAATAATCAAATTAAGGCTTCAAGCTAACTACATAAGGCGAGTGTTCCCAGGAGGATGGGACGACGCGTCAGCGGCTACGGTCCGCGATGTGGTCCGCGTTGCCGTTGTCGCTGTCGTCGCCGAACATACTGTGAAAGAATAATCCGGTCGGCGGTGTATCGCGTTCTAACCCGACAGGCTGGTTCAGACCCAGCGGGGTATCCCGGAATACTAGCGGCATCGCCCAGGTGGCCTGACGGGCCGCCGTACCGCGAAGACCAGTGTCTTAAGTCGTCGATGTAACCTCAACGACCCGTCGGTCGGACGTCCTCGGGGTGGCGCCGTAAATCTACTTATAGTGCTGACCGCAGGAGCCCCCCAATTCAGATCAGGTTCTGACCCCCTTGCGGAGATCGGTCGTCGGGAGTGACAGCGCTAGGTGAAGTTGTTTGGTGCAGTATGGCCCTAAAATTATCCTTGGGCTCGCGGTGTGCTCCCGACATCTGCAGATTGTCAAATCCCACATATACCTTGCGTTCCCCCTAGGCGCGTTGTAATTAAAAAATAGGTATATCCAGCTTAAAGTCTTAAAACTCCCACACCAATAGCAAACCGAAATTTAAAATTTTTTTTTATTTTTATTAATTACATTAAAGATTTTTTTTAATCACCAAAATCATTACAAAATTATTATATGGTCATCGATCTTTGATACGACTGCAAATTTCCAAGTTGATCTCACATTTTGATAAAGGTGAAAATTACTTTTTAAGGATATCGATAAAGCCAAGAAAGCGTATAAAAAAAATTACGTAAAACATGTATTGTAAAAAATACACTATGACTTCTAAAATGTCTTTCTATTACAATTTTACACAACAATTTTCCTTCCCAACAAAAACAAAAGTATCTATGTTTTTGTAACTTGTATGTATTTAGGAACTAAACACTTTGCTCGAAATCACTTTAACCAGTTTAATAATGATGAACAATATTCAGGATTGAATATCACGGTTTATTATAGAAGCCGTTATTTAATGTGTGCCTTTAAAATGGGTGCTATTTATTTGAGCAATTGTACGTATAGAACAATATGTCGCGTCCCTACTATATAGGTCTATGAACAATTTAGAAATCTTCTCTTGACGTTAGCAAACGAAAACGAATGACAGTTAGGAGGCACCGCTTTTCAAGAAGGCTGGTTGGTAAGTGTGATGGCGTCTATGCGCCTCCATCGGCTAGGCTCTGTCGTAGCACGAAGTTAGCCGAGTTGCGACGATACCGCAATAGTGCTGCGTTTTGTTTGTACTTAGAAGAAAAATAAATCACTTACTAAGCCTGGAGAGTTTGAAGGCATCTGCTGTGTTAATGACGTCGACGTAGAGCTGGAAATCCAACCGGCTCCGGTTGGACGTCGAGTGCTGAACCATCGCGAACTTGAAAGCGTTCTGGATCTCTTCTGTGTTTTGATCGAAGACAACTCCTGTAATGAAGGGAATTTGTAAGAGGCAATATCGATTTCTATTAGGCGTAATTCGTTTTGATAAGACCGTGTTGTGAGCTCGGACGAGACAGCGCCTATTTTTTCCACGAAGTAATCAAACATTCCGATTTCAACATTGCACAATACGATTTTTGTAATGATATACGTGGTTTCGACATCATAATTTTATGTGATCATTTAATTTTAATAGTGGCGTTCCTTACACTCAAAGCGGGTCTGCCAAAGTAAAAAAAAATCTATCGTTGTTATGATTAAGTGGCTATCGGAACACGTAAGAATTATAACATAGGTACTATCTATATTAATACAGATTTATTAGTATACTATCATTATCTTGTAACATTTTAGTGAAAAATGACAATATTGTACTTTGTACTAATATTATAAAGAGGAAAGATTTGTTTGTTTGTTTGTTTCGAATAGGCTCCGAAACTACTGGACCGATTTGAAAAATTCTTTTTCCATTAGATGCCGACATTGTCCCTGATGAACATAGGCTACTTTTTTTTATTTTTTTTAAATTTTTTTGTTTGTTTCATGTGTGTTTTAATGTTTCCGAAGCGAAGCGAGGGCGGGTCGCTAGTATTGTATAAGATAACGGGAATAAAAACGGGACTGTGGCGTAGTATTTAGTTATTCTATTGTGCTCTGACACTAATTTGTAAAAATGACTTTTATTTCAGTGAATTCCAATCGAATATTCGTGAATATTGTTCGTTATTTTTGAAAAAAATTCCAATACCAGGCGTTTTGTGAAGCTCAAAAATTCGTCAATTTTTTGTTTTTCCTGTTGAATATTTGAGCTTTGAGTCTTTATGTTTTTATCATTTTATTCTAGTGCGTAGGTCGATGTTCACAGAATGTCTATGAATGAAATAGAAATGTGGTTCGGATTTTATTTTACTTTTTGGAACTATTATAACGAAATTATTTTTTATGGTTTCTGAAGCCTAAGTCATGCTTGCATCATGTGATTAGATTAAGCCGCACTATTTTACTACATATCTGGATCGATAATAGAGTCGTACTAATACAGTACTACCTGTAGCAGTAGCTTGATGCGGCACAGATTAGATACACGCTCTACTAAATCTTTTTTATACCTTTAAACGAGCAATTCTTGTATATTAATAATATATATGTATATAATCTGAATCTCGGAAACGGCTCCAACGATTTTCATAAAATTTAGTATACAGGGGATTTCGGGGGCGATAAATCGATCTAGCTACGATTTATTTTCAGAAAATGTTGTTTTATTTGTGTTTTGAATAATCAACTCTTCCCGACATCTATTGGCGAATAATAATAGTATTTTTCTTATTTGAGGGCAACTAACCGCTTTAAAGACACAACAAGATGGCGTTATCAAGCGGTCATCATCTAGTGTATTCTAATGTGAATGCAATGCACATTGGTTGATTGCTTTTATATATTTGACTAAAGCATGCGTTCGGCGTCGACGATTTATTGTTTTGCAAGCCGCATGCCATAGTATTCCGGTACTAAATTTATAGCTGTAGTCTCGCTCGAGAAAAATATGGATTTATTGTTGGCTCTTCGTAACAAATCGTTATTGGAATCTGAGATACAAAATATTAAAAAAAATATCTTTTGCATTATGTTCATTGTAAAGTCTACACATGTCTCGGTTAAGACAAGTTGTATGACATAACATTTAAAAAAATCGTGATATTTTTATGTTCAGCCTTAAACGGATTTTCGTAATTAGATTAACTTATCACGTTTCAAGATTTGCCAATTTATTTATTTGGCTAAAAGATTATTTATTTATGAACACGCTTTTGTTATTTTTGATGGACATTTCGTAAATTGAATTTGTTTACATTTCAAGGTTTATATAAGGATTTTGGGTCTGAATATATCAATCTTTTGTTGTCAGAAGTGTCGTATCAAGGATTTATGGGACGATGACATTTAGATATTAGATATTTTCTCTGGAAATAAAATTCCTTTATCATATTGACGAAAAATCTGCGTATTCCACAGGCTATACGGTTGACAATCGCTTTTCCTATTATTTTTTTATCGATTGAATAGGTACGTTTCACTATTTAGTAAATAATGTAGGTGTAAAATTGTTGTTTCAGAAATATTATAAGAAAAGAATATTAATAGATATACAATATTTATGATATTTATTCTTCATTACATTGCTGTATTTTTTTACTTATTAATAGTACAAATGGTAGTTTCTTGGTAGTTAAACAGATTACGGTATTCGAATTATCTATATATTAATACGTGAAGCAAAAACTTTGTATCCCTTTTTACGAAAATTGCACGAACGGAGGAGTATGAAATTTTCCACACTTATAAAGAATATAAAGAAGAAGTGCACAATACTATTTTTTTTTAAATAATGCACAAAAGATTCATTAAGTCAATAAAGAAAACATTACACACACTACGTACCATGTATTTGACGCACACACGCATGCATACTATTTAATGTGAAACTTTGGTACTTGACGTCTGTTGTCAAATTGAGAATAGATTAAATATTGTTTGTCTTTGTTAATATTTTTTAGAGTGTGGTCTTGGCGAAATTTGTGATTATAGAAGTATAAAATACAATCATAATAGTGTACAAACTTACAATTGCAATTAATTATAGTCGAATTTCGACTACTGCGGGACCTCTAGTTCCTGTAAACGAGCGTCTGCTTGTGCTTGATTATACTTGATTATATTATCATTGTATGTATAAGGTTTTAGAAACAGGACAGTTTTAACTTTTAAAAGTTACGTCAACTTCACTTAAGTTAAGATGATAAACTTCACTCCCAGGGTTTTATTTGAGAAGAAAAGTTTAAGTTACATCCATGATTTATAAAGTGGCCTCGAAAGCGAAGTGGCAATGGTACTTTTCGTATTTGCACATGCGGCGAGCGACGGTGAAGTCTCTTCGGATTTCTGGATTTTCAATGTGGATTCCAGCTTTCCTTCATCTTGAGACTTGTACTTGAATTAAACATCAGAATGTACGAAAATTCAGACGGCCCAGCATAATTATTCAACTTCATTAGGATATAACATTTATAATATTATATGTCGGAGAAGACCACAATTATTAACACTATCGTCAGACATCATCGCAATAGGGTGATCGTGCTAAGAGAAATATTGAGTATACGAAACAAGTTTTTTGTCTTGGAACAATTCAGAAATCTGCTCTTGACGTTAGCAAACGAAAACGAATGACAGTTCTTAGGACGGAGGCACCGGTCTTCAAGAACATGTGGTTGGTAAGTGTGATGGCGTCTATGCGCCTTCATCGGCTAGGCTCTGTTGAAGCACAAAGTTAGCCGAGTTCCAACGACACCGCAATCGTGCAAATCTTTTGGGAATCGTTCTGCGTTTCGTTTAGCTACCAAACTAATGACCGTCTCCGACATATAGATAAGATAATATAATTGAAGAGTCCGTAGTAGTAGCACGACACTCATCAATACGACCTTTGGTGGTCAAACATTCTCGTAACTACGATTAAAATACCTATGTACATTTCTATGAATGTTCACTTTTACATAAAATCATGAAGCTGGTGTGTGTTCACCAAAAAGTAACAATATCGTAATCAAACATAAAATCTACGTAAAATTATTCATATTGGGTGAGTTGTGAGTCTGCGCGTATAGGTAACATTATCTTACCTATTTCTATAGCACAGTAATGGGAGTGTTCTGTTTTATCGTAAGAAGTTGAGATTTCTATCTACGAAAGTAAAATGAAATTCTGGTTCCATTTAGGACAGTAATTTCTCCTTAAGGTTTCTCCATTTGCACTCGATGCTGAGATACATAGTGTCGCTTAGACCCTTCGTAACGATCTGATCCAACAAACCATTGTTTTAAGAAGCAATTCGACTCGTTGTTAGGTAAAGTGGTAATTTGATTAAATTTTTCGTTGATGATAATGACAGTATCAATATCGCCAATAGTAAGGAATTCCACCACGACGATCACAGATTACTTTGGATTCTGGAACTACAATTGTTGCAACAGGACTACAGATAAATCCTACAGTGAATGAGATAAACACCTATGATGGTCTTTAGCTCCAAATGTTGTTTTCTCTGATCGTTTATTTATGTCTATTACTAAATGACACTGTAATCTTTTAAAAACATTCACTTCTAGGAATCGAGGTCGACAATGATACTATAATATCCCGCTCTTTCGACCTTCGTATTTCCCAACTCGCATTTTTAGCTTTTCTCAGCCTTTATCTCTCAAGGGACTCGTTTGCCGAGCTGACCTCCAAAATGTTATCGCTACACGGATAGTGTAGGTGTAAAAGTTTAATAATCTAAATATTAAAATGGGTCCTAGTTTGATAAAACAATTGAACTACATTGATCAGCTTACTAGACCAGTAAATGGATCCCATTTTCTGTGGTCACTTGCCACTTGCTGGGTCAATTTTTGGTATTTAATCGATCGTAATTATTCGCCACTATGCTTTTGTTCCATTTTTCGATGCCTCTTATTGTATGTCCTGTCCATTGCCATTTTAGTTTCCGAATTCTAGTTGAAACACTTTGTATCTTAGTGAGACTTCTAACGACTTTGTTTCGTACTCTGTCTGATTTCTTAAATTCAGTATGATTCTTTCCATAGCTGTCTGGCATGTTTCTAATTTTTTGCTTTGCGCTTTGTTGAGAGCCCAGGTTTGGCAGCCATAGGTTAGAACTGGTAGCACGCGGGTGTTGTACAGTTTTGATTTGACATGCATCTTGATTTCTTTGTTCTTCATCATTTCTTTTAGCCGCCAGTAGTACTTCCATGCAATACTAATTTCCACAAAGAGTTGTGTCTTCGTTGCGTTTAATAATATAGCATTTGTTCTTCGGATTCTGAGTCTATTTGCTTTTGGGCATCTTATGAGCCCGCACGAGTAGGTAGCACCAAGTGAAGTAGCAATGCGTTACGGTTCGAAGGGTGATGTATCCGTTG